CTGCATGTTTTAGCAAATCCTCTTGGAAAATGCGCATTATGCATGTTATCTTAACGTCAGGTGAGAAATCTTCTGAAAAACACGTAAAATAATAATGTTCTGTCGTTTATTTCACTGCCTCCTGTACTGGTGCAACGTACAGAACAGAAACAGCTTGAAATTTGGGGTTTGATTCAGGATGATTTCCTCTCTTGGACCTTGTTGTTCCGTCCAATCAGAGCACAGAACATGGAATAATCCGTTCCATAGCTTCAGAATATGTTCTAATAAGTCATTTAATTAAGTATGGAGTCAAAACCGAATACTAAAAACTTTTTACCAATGCGATGTTGCGTTACTGTTGAAGATGCACCATTATTTTATCATTAGATGAGAGATCTGTGCCCCTTATTTTAACAGAAAGTGTATTTTCACCTGTACTTTTGCAACGTTACAACAGAAAAAGTTCATTCAGAACGATTTCCTCTCCTGGAATCTGCCTCGGACCGTGTCGTTCTGTCCAGTCGGAGCCCACAACATGGAACAATCCGCTCCACAGCCTAAGAACAGTCTCCAGGACACGGAAATACATGAAACGCAGCAGCCTCCGACAAAGCCGGTGAATATTTTGCCTCATTGAATACGACCCAGATAGGAATACAAACACAAGCCATCCTCTTCTCCCTGCACACAGTCGCTGCGGCGCTCGTCTCAGCCGCCCGTTATGTAAATAAAGGAGGCGCAGAGAGACGTAATGTGTGAAAAAAAAAAAGCATACAAATCATCCAGAATTCATGTGTAACAGAAAAGAGATGGCATGGCGAGAAAACGAAGGGAGGCATAAAGAAGGAGAGAGAAGTTCAAAGTTTGGGAACAAAGAAAAAAATAAAAGCTTCTTCGTTTTTTTTGTTTTTTTTTTCATCCATTAAATGAGTCATTACCGACCCAATGTGGGACTGTGTGAAACCCCCAAGGCTCCCGGTGCGTCTTTTTCCTCAGCGAGATCAACACCATTACACAACAACAACAACAACAACAACAGCAACAGCTACAACAACAACAATAACAACTGTGCTATAGTGAGACGGCGCCCAATATATAGATGATGCACATCATTAACACCACAGCCAGCCACACATTAGCACAAACTGTTAAGTCTGTTATGTTACTCAGTTTATTGGCCCCATCAGGAAACCAGGTGGTGTCGCAGGGTGCAGCAGGGAGACCCTCCCCCCTCCCACCTCCTCCACCTCCTCCGAGTCACTGTAACCCCCCGACGAAGTCATCTCTTGTTTCCAGGGCGACGAGTTTTTTGGCCTCTTTCAAGTTTTGAAGGCGAAGAGTCAGAAGAAGCGTCTGCAGCAAACATCCACGGGAGCCTTTCAACGCAGCTTTTAATGCAACGACGAGGACGTTTTTCTCGTGTTTTGAAGCAGAAAGGCAAGTTCTGAACGGCGGTGGTGTTGTTTTGTTGTTTTTGTGTGGTTTTTTTTTTTGAAATCGTGATTACGGTGCTTTCAGATTACATTTTCTCTGGTAAGGTAGAAAATACAAACAATTTGAGTCACTCAGCACATAATCACAGAGCAAAGCCGAAGAAACGAGAACGTAGCAAGAAGCAGCGTTTGAGTTTTTGTTTGCTCTTGGCAGTATTTTTTCTTTTTTTTTCTTTTTTTTTTTCCTTATATTTGACTGACACTGAATCAAATCTGTCTCCGTGATACAGTTAAATACAGACACATTCAGCCACGCTGCACCGTTGCCACCACGGATTTTTTTCCTTCACAACTTCTTTCCGGCTTTCTTTTAATCCTCCTCTTATGGAATTATACAGTCGCTGTCGAGCGGAGAGGATATAACTGATGGCAACTCTTTAATCAGGTTGAATGTTAAGCAGGTAGGTGTTTAGCCGATGGAGGTGATGTCGATTTATCTGCTTCCCCTACTTTCAGCCTTTTCCTTTCTTCCCCTCAGACATAAATGGCAGTCCGGGAAATCACCGAGCCGTCCCTCTGCGACTCCATGTCGTCGTCCAGGTACACGTCCATTTCTTCTTCGCCGCCGTGGCCTCTGTGGACGTGATAGGCCGGAGGCAGCATGTTCCCGCCTCCCCCTCCGAATCTGTCGTACCGCTCCTCTTCCTCCTCCATGCTGTCGTCCAGCTCGAACTTCCTCCGCTCGGCGTCCAACTCGCCGCTCAGCAGGATGTCGTGAGCGGTCGGGGGGTTGCCGGTGGAGGCGTGGTGGAGGTGGTGATGGTGGTAGTCGTTGGCCTTTTCCGTGAGCGTCCCGGTGGCGTCGCAGCCCTCCCGGTACGTGTAGATGGGCCCGTTGTTGTTGGCGCCGGTGCCGTTCTTGCTGCTGCCGTTGTTCCCGGAGCTGCCGAAGAGCAGGCGGGCTTTGTTGCCGTAGTCGCCGCCGTTGCTGCCGCCGCTGCCCGTCGCTATGGAGTCCCCGCTGCTGGGGTAGCCGCGCCTCTGCTGCCGGCGGCTGCGGGTCAGGAGGACGGCGACAAGCGCCACCACCAGCAGCAGGGCCAGGAGGGAGCCGATGACGGCGCCCGCCACCACGCCGGCGCTGGACGGGTCCTCCAAGGCTTCTGCAGAGGGGATGGAGGGGTTGGAAGGAGGGATGGAGACATGGGTGGAGGAAGAGAAAAAGGAATTGGTGGCTGTTTTGGAGGAGGTATTCACAGTTCTTCTGGCATTGTGAGTGTGCTGTAGTGATAGCAGTTCTTCTACGTGTGCTACAATCCTCTTACAAGTGTGTAGTAATGTTCTTCTCAGTGTAATCCCTCGGTGAGGGTGCAGTCAGTCATTGCTGGGATCAGGCTGAATGGGACTCATTCACTTTCTCCCAGCGGCTCGATGCGCTGCTGTCTGCAGACATTTTGCTCTACATACATGTCTGTCCAGCTGTTTCACTTTCTGCCGCCCTTCCCCCCGTTTTTTTTTTTATTTTTTCGCCAGCTGGGGAAAAGCCTTTACTACTGTACCGGTCCTTTGTTCTATACTTGATGTTGGTGTGAGCCAAGTTTGCCTCTCCACTCTTGTTTCAGTCGAAACAAAAATGAGAGATGGGTTTACAGCATCAGCAAAAAGTGGGTTTGTGTTGTTGTCTTTGCCGTTCAGGTTTAGAGGTTTCGGCCCGGCAGGCAGACAGACAGACAGACAGACAGACAACAGGACACACAGGCAAGAGGGGTTACTTGAAGAGGGTGAAACGAGCACACAGTCGTGCCTGGAAAAAAAAATGCCACAATGCTCCCCCCCAGTCCCTTCCATTTTTAACCTCTGATTTATCCTCAGCATCCCCCATCATCTGCTTCCCTTCATCGGTCCGCTGGTCAGACCACAAGGCAGAGAGATCGCCTGTTGTCAACCTCGGACCAAGTCCAGGACTCAGTGATCAGCATCACACAAAGGTAAAAAAAAAAAAAGGTTGACACTGCAGAGCGAGACTCACGCCAGGACGCTTTTAAGAGGATTCTCTGCAGGAGTATAAGAGAGAAAAAAGGGGTCTGGCTCAGATAGTGTGGGATTGGTACAAGAGGACTCACGCTGGGCTAAAGAGAGGAGAAAAGAAAGTCTCAAACCAGGCGAGGAGAAGCGTCGAAGCCTATAGCGAAGCCGCGCACACGGCCGGCTAATGTTTCTGTCTGTGAATTACATGCTGATTTTTTACTTTGGGGTGCAGCGAGGGCAGTAGGACGCAGAACAGCAGGGAAATCTGAACCCCTTCCGGTTTTATGCAAATAGCAGCTCGGGTCTGCCAGCGGTCCTGGCAAACACAGCGGCGGACGCCAATCAAACAATCCGAGGTTGGCTGCAACGAGCGTCGAGCGGGGTTACGTGCCAGGGCAGCACAAGTGAGGGAAGGACCGGCTTCTTTTTTTTCCTCTCTTTCCCGCGGTGAAATCGCGTTGGGTATCGAGCTAAGCTAACACAACCAGTGGGGGGATTGTCACTGTGAGCGAGAGCCTGTGATTCATACAAATTGCTCATTCTGAGGGTGTGGGGGAGAAAAAATACAAGAGAGAGAGAGAGAGAGAGAGGGGGGATGAAAGAGGAGAGAAAAGGAAGAGGAGGAGGTGGGAGTTAAGAAGAGAAGGTCTGGTTTCAAACACCCTCACTGGGGGATGCAGGCGGGTTATGCCAGGGTGAGACAGACGGCGAATGAGGCGGGGCTCCTGGGACAGGATATGATGTCTAAATTAGGGGACAGTGTCTGCTAATATCCAATTGAAGTGACAGAAGGCATTAAGGATGATGAATCCAACTTTCCCTGTCCTAGTTTCCGTCTCTCTTTTGCGAACTTACAGATTGGCATGGAAACACAACGCGCGAGCCAAAGTGTTATTTATATTTATTGTGCCATTTATATTTTAAGCATTAGTGGCATTTATCAAGTGCCCGAGTGAGAGACAGCTGAATAATGGCCTTTTGTGGAAGGTCTTTGGTGGCTGTCGTCCTTCTGTTAATCAAGTGCTTAAAAATCTATTATTCTGCGCGGGCTATAAAGAACAATGCTCCTACAGAAGCCCATTAGAGCTGCCGCGTTCATTTTTCAGTGGATCTGAGGTCACACGCGGGAGCAGCATGATTTTCTTTCCAATTTGCCCTCAAAGTCCAGAGTTAAGGGATGATATTTGCACAGAAATGATCTTGGAAACTTTGCGGCGACTGGAAGGCAGCTGCCTCCCGCTCTTTGTGTTTGTGAATGGGTTCAGCTCGCAGCTAAAATTGGCTGCTGTCAATAAAAGTTGGCGACTGTGAACCCGGGCGGCTCATTTGATGAACCTATTGCACAAAAACATTTTATTTTAGCTTCCCTGCCCCCTCCTCGCTCCCTTAAACTAAAATCTGCACAGTAAAGTCCAAGGCGGATAAAATACAGATGCTCGTAGCTAATATCCAACTACGTCAGGCGACACAGCATTTATCACCATCGCTGTCAAACAACACAAGCAACAGAAAGTCTCGGGAAACAGCGACACAACAAGTTCCACTTTCATGCAACATCCACCATGAAGCTCTACGGGGTTTGGAACATTAAGGCGGGGAGTTCTTGAAGGACGCGACCGACCTTCAGTCCGAACTCTGGGGATCAAAAAGCAGCAACCAGGTGTCACCAGGATCGGTCACTAACATACAGGTACAGCATGAAAACTCACAATAAGAACTCAACTTGTTGTTTGTCGTGGAAGGAATAAATACACAAGTTTCAACACGACATCTCATTCTCTGCAAAAAAACAAAACAAACAAAAGAAGAAGTATATTTCCAAAAAGTGTTCATTCCAAATGCACTGTGATAAATTACTGGAAAAATGCAGCTGATTTCTCAATTTGCACATTTTGTACAGTTGTTTTATTTATTTTATTTTATTCACGTATTATATTTGTAATTTTTTAAAATAGTATTTTCTGCTGCTGTACCACAGTAATTTCCCAGTCTGGGATAAATAAAGTATTTTTCTATTCTATTCTATTCTATTCTTTTTCCAAAACATGGTTAAAAATGATCAAACCAAACTCACAGAGAATTAATTAAACAAAGAATATTCACAAAGTACTGCGGCTAAGAATATTATTTTAAAAACGTTACACTGATTTGGACAGATATTTTATTTATTTCTAATGTACATTTTTTAATTGGTTCCTAAAATATATTTAAAAGACATAAATGTCCCCAATCCATAAAAATTTTACTTGCCTTATACTTTATCTTGGATTGTTTCTTTTCTTCTTTTTTTGGTGGTATGTGCATTTAAAAAAAATAAAATAAAATAAAATAAAAAGAGTTCTTAATTCTGCATCGTAAAGATCAAAGACAATTATTTGTGATATGTGTTTGCAAAATACAGTTTAAATGTTTTAATTTACAGGCAGTTCGTGTTAATTATGGTGACAACACCATATAAATTCAGCATATTATTGAAAAGTCTAGTTACAGTATTAAATAGTAAAGTACTGCAAGTTATTATAAAGTAATTGTCTTAATAGTACCGTCATAAAAACGGTAAAATACTACGATTGTAAATGTCACATTTTATTGTAACATGCAGAGTAGCTTTTACAGTAATAAACTGCTTCAGTAAGTCATGGTGGGAACTCTGTTAAATGACAATATTTTACCAGGATTTTACTGTAAGTTCACATAAAAATGAGCCCAAACATGCAGCCGTCTCCTGATTGGCCAGCTCCTAACTTCACTTCCTGTCGCCGTTATCCATCACAGACACAACCTGGTTCCAGTCTCCAGGTAGCTCAAAGGGCTCACACGAGTTCATCCCGATACCTTCGGATGCTAAACGAAAAACACTAAAAGCGCATTCATGCTCGGCGCTCCTCCGTCAGAAGTTTCTGCAGGCGACGTCGCTTATTACAGCCCGAAACGCTAATGGATTCTAGATCGGCTCTGACAAAACTGTGCCAGATGCATAATCAACATCAGTGTCACATTCTGCCTTATGAGACGTGTTGGTAAACACTGTTCTGTGAGCAGAATCCCCCCCCGCCCGAAAAAAATAAAAAGTAAAAAAAAAAAAGAAGTACCGTTAGCGAGAAAATAGGCCATGCTTGTCATCCTTATTTCTCATCAACAGAGGCAGCCTGCCTGCATTAAGAAGCACGGTGATAAATGTCATAGAGAGAGGCAGGGGGGCTTATATCAGTCTCTGTATTAGTGTCATGTACATGGAGGAGATTAAGGGAAGGAGAGAGAAAAGGGAGAGAGAGAGAGAGAGAGAGAGAGAGAGAGGGGGACCCATGAAAACTATCCATTCCTACTCAGTGCGGTGGGGATAATCTAAATGAGAAGATTTGGGATGTGGGGAGGCAAGGTGGAAAGCAAAGGAAAACAGAGCGAGAGAGAGGGACACAGTTTAAGTAGTGAAACCTGAATAATCTTCTGTGGATCTCCTTCACTTTCTCCTTGTTTTTGTTCTCAGAATCCAATCCAAAAAAAAAAAAAAAAACACCCCCACACACACAGAAAGCTGCACTCATGCAACCAGCCAGAGGTTGAACCTGCGTGAAGGCGCCGCCGTGCCACTGATTCTCATTAAAAGCAGCTTGTGGTCAAGGACGTGCGAGAATGTGCCCCCAAAACACCGCAAACACAAAAGGAACAATCGCTCTCCTTGACAAAGACCACCGACTCAGACTGAAGCTGGTGTTCAATTAAATATTCCTTTATTGTTCTTCCTGCACTGGACTCCGGTAAACGAGCTCCTGAGATGGGACGCCTGTTTGTGTGGGTTTTTTTTTTCTTTTTAATGTGTTTTTCCACTTTAAACCGCTTCTAGATTCCCACTGCTGAACTCGTAAAGTGTCTGGAAAGTTGCCAGAGTCATTCAGTTATCGCTATGGATTCCACAAAAACATAAAAACTACTATTTAAACGCTAATTTGAGCAGCTTGGTGTTGTGTTTTTGAGGAAATTCGAACAAATCCTGCACAAGAACGAGGCCGGTTTTAACGGGTCGTGGTGAAGACAGACGGTCCGATAGATGGAGCGTCTTCAAGAAGAACGCTTCAGGGTCACAACATGCAGAAATGGTGAGAGCTGCACAAGTAAAACAACCTTCAACCTGAAATGTCGGCTACAAAAAACCAGACCTGCTCCTGCAGCAACGATAATGGAAATGAGCTCCGAAACAGTGGACGCAGCCCAAGAAGTTACGCTGAAGTAGAAAACAGATCATGGAAAAAAAATCACTGCTGATAATAAAAAAATATAAAGCTACTTGTTTAAATCGCCTTCAGCTTTTCAAGACTTCTCACCTGCTGATCTTCCACATTAATG